AGGTCCTATTCTAAGCTCGATATTTATAAATTCTGAACACTACGACAGTTAACCGATCCATGAATCGGAAGTATGTTTAAAACTATGTTTTTATTAGGTAAATTGAGAAATTTACAATGCCTATCCTAACATAATTTATGCAAAATAATAGTAGACCTATGTACATTATAAATATTAACCTTAATTTCGGTAGTAATTCATTGTAATTAATATACTTTACATTTTCTTTAAAAATCGCTTGAAATTGGTGGTAGTTCTCTTTTCCGTTTTACTTATTTTTCCTTAACATCTAGAGCCAAGGCCACCGTGTCACCACTGTGAGGACCTTTGTCTGGAGCGCTAGTGTCTTCCATCACCTCAACAGCCTCTCCAGACACTTCCGACGGCTCAACAGTGTTCGTATCACTGCAGACAATCAGAATTCTATACGCCTGTAACATTATAACTAGCATATTTTTGCACGTGAAAAATATCATCATCTGGTTGACGACTTGGTGGTGGATGAGGAGGTAGAGTCTCATGGCAAGGAAGGGGCCATCCTGCATTATCAAGCTGATGGATAATGCCCAGATCTCATTCTCGCAGCAGATACACGCGCGGCAATGGTACATCCGTTTCGTTTTCTTGAACATTCGCACCTTAGCTCCACTGACAGACGTTAGGACTAGAGTAAACTGTAGAAGACTCCAAGCCCATAGTCCGAGGATCATGTAAATCAAGATGGCGTTACACTTCACGTTGTCCTCTTTCAGATTTTCAATGGAGAACTCAAGAATATCAGCTGCCATGCCGATGTATACCAAAAGAAGTTGCGACAACTGGTCACGTGTCAGCGCGCCTTTTGGGAGAAGCCATCGCCCCAGTACTAGAAGACACAATAGAACTTGTTCCAGTGCCAGAACCCAGTCACTTTCACTTAGCGTTAATGGAATTGTTACCTGATAAAACAAATATTTAATGGAAATATTAGATATGAATAAATATACTAATATAATATAAAAAATGTAAATAAAATAAAATATAAACAAATAGAAGAACTAATCAGAAGTTATAATATAGTAGATCTAGTGACGCATATTGTGCCTTGCTGCACAAGACAAGAGCTTAAGCACTTACGCCGCTAATTTCCGATAATTGCACGCCACTACTATTGATCATGATGTCACTGGTACATTCCTCCCATCCCTGTTCGTCCCGATACTCGATCCGGTTCTCATAAAGTTGCAACTCAAGTAAATATATTCCCGGAATGACGCTTGCGAGATATAGAAGCACACTCGGACAAAACCTGTTAAAGAACAAGTTGATAATTAGCTTTTTAAGCATTTAAATTGAAATGAACTACATTATCGAAATGAAATACATTATCAAATGAATAGATTTTTGCTTCTAAAAATAGCAACGGGGTCTAAGATTTTCGAGGCTCCAAAATTACCGCTTGCACCTGGTCCTACCACAGCCGTTGGAAAGGGGAACACTTTATTCATAACCCCTATCCACTCAAACAACTATTTAATCCGATACATGTAATGGTTCTTGGCTGATTCTTCACTGCCCCCACCCCCTCCCAGCTATTTCATTATCCTTCGCGCCGTCACTAATTGAACAGTGTATCTACCTGTCTCTGTGATTGTATATACATATTTCTACAGTATATAAATACATATATATATATATATATATATATATATACATATATCGTATATATATACGATATAACATCATGTTCCTATATATTTGCTCAAATACATAAGAACATGGTGTTATACATCGTATTGTTGCTTTTATTTGATCAGCTCTTTTTATTTTATTTATATACTGTTTATTTTTTTTTCTTTTCGTTTTCATTTTTATATTCATATAGGCCTTATATTTGTATATATTGTTTTTTGTTTTTTGTTTTTTTATGCTGTACACCTGATGAATGCCTATGGCCGAAAACGTTTGTGAATTTTCTGTATTAAATTTGGCAAATATATACCTTGTTCCTGAGTTTTATTTGATATATATCTACACTTTGCAAAGCAGCTACTTCT